GAAGATAGGAAGCATCTCACACGCATGAACATGGGTGCCCCTGCCCGTGGACACACTGCATGGGATTGGTGTTTGTGCGACTTCTTTGGTTGTGAGTGGTACCTCTCGTTCGACAGCTCCGCTGGGCCCCGCGAGAAATATTGCAAACATCTGCTGACTACGATTTGCATGCAACACTTGTTGGAGCTATTTGTATTACCCAGGCCACCTGGTGTGAGGTTTGTGAAGGCGGAGGAGGAGGTTGAGAGAGAGAGAGAGATGAATGAGAGGATAAGCAAACGTATTGCCGCCAATTATGGGAATGAAACGGAGTGGAGGTGTGAGAGTATCGAGCGTCTTGGGATGGAAATCTTGGGAGATAGTAAGACGGTCATTAACTGGATGTGTGGTGAGTGGCAGATTCGCAACAAGCAGTATGTCCAACTGGTGGGAGTACTACAAAATACTCTATCGATGTTGTCTGCATGGGGACTGACCTCACTTGCATCGGGGCAGAATTTGTATAAACATTTCTTTCGTGAGGGTAATGAGCGTGCGGATAGATTGTCGTGGGTGGCCAGAGGTGGCCAAACTATTACTCGTTTTTTTGCTAATGATCAGTTCCTCAGTGCTCGTAAGACTGCTCTCCGTGGTGCATTCGATGGGGGTGTCAGTAATGAAGGATGTGGAGGCGGGTGGTGGCTTCAGATTGGTGTGGTAGGTAGTGGCTCCAGCGTGCAGGTTGATTTTCCCCTCTCCTCCTCCTCCCCCTCCTCCTCCTCCTCCTCCTCCTCCTCTTCCTCGTGTATCAGCTCGCAGAGCTTCCATTGGCACGATGTGGCCGAGGAGGCGATGAGCTTGCCTCCAGGTAGCACGGTAACCTGCTGCGAACTAGCCCCCTGCGCTGCCCTGGCGAGAGCTGCTGCTAAGGTGGCGTGCGCTCTGCTGCAACCTACCTAAGGTGGTGGGTGCTCATTTGCACTGTTCCGCCGTTTCGGATTCGGATTCTAGCGGCGGACCGTAAACCGAAAAAAAAACCAAGGTTGACGGTTCACCGCCGGCTCCCAGTTGTCGATCCGCATTGCATCTGACTCGACCGTCGCCAGCGCTGACTCGTATCCCTGCGGTGCCGCCTGGCTGGCTGCTGCTGGCGCTCTCCTCGTGCGCCGCTGACCAGCGCCCGCTGGCCGCTGCGCCCCGCCGACGGCTTCCAGGTTGCTGGGTCGTCCCGCTTGGTTCTTTCATCTGGGCTATTCTGGCGGCTTGCTTCCGCGGCCGCTCTTGCTGTCTGAGTCTCTCCTTGTGCATGGCCTTCCGGTGGCGTGTTCAGCCCGACCGCTGGTGCAGTAACTCTGCCTCGCCGCTTGCGTGAAAGTTCTCGCGGCTCGGGGTGCCAGCCGTGCTTCGCCGTGTGCTTTCCGTTGCCCCGACGCGTTCCTGCCCGGCGCCTGACTCCCTCTGTTCCAGTCTGCTGGCATTTTTTCTCCTGCGCCCCTCTCGTGCATTGCCCGCCGTGCCCCTCGAGTTGCCCTCCCTGCCTCCGCGCAGCGGTGCCGGTCCAGCAGTGTTCGTCGGCCTCAGCCTTTGTCAAGTCGGGGCATTGTCGCAGGCCCGTCCGCAGCTGCGCAGCCTGGCTGGCCTGGCGGTACAGGGCTGGGCGGCTCCCGCGCCTGAGTGGTGCTCGCGCAAATCCGGCCGTCGATGCCCGCGGTCCACAGCAGTGCTGCCTCCATGGCGTCGGGGAGCTGCTTGAGAGAAAGGCGTTCGCTGCTGTCTTGGGTGCGGCAGCCTTTGGGTCGGTCCTCCAGTGGCTCGCCTTTCTGCGTGTGTGACCACTGTGGCCTGGTGCTTCGAGACTTGGACGCCCTGCTTTCTCCGTGCCCATTCGTGGGATCCGTGGGCCTTTCGTGCTGCTTGCCCCGACCTGGTCACGGCAGGGGCGCTTCTACGCAATTTGGAGCCTGAGCCGCCCCCCTCCGCTAATCATGCCTCCTCCTCCTCCTCCTCCTCCTGCTCCTCCTCCTTCGCCTCCTCCTTCGCCTCCTCTTCCCCCTCTTCCTCCTCCGCCTTTTCCTCCTCCTCTTCCTCCTCCTCTTCCTCCTCCTCCTCCTTCTCCTCCTTCTCCTCTCCCCCCTGATCCTACCTCCTCGCCTGGCGGGTCCGCGCGGCCCTTCGCGGGCGCTGACTCGGCCCCGCGAACTCCCGTCGCTGCGCGACCGTCGCGGGGCCGCTCGAGAAGGCGCTGCGTCGAGCCGCTCCCCGGGCCGCTGGCCCCCGGCCGGGCTCTTCCCGTGGCCCTTTGTGCGACGGCGCGCCGCGCGAACGCATCCCGAGGGCGGGCGGCGGGGTCCGGGCCGCCGTGCTCCCGCCGCCCTCTCTCGCGGAGTGCCGTCCGCCGCGGTGTCGCCCGCGCGGCCGCAGTCCGCCTCCTCCCGTCGCTCCCCTCCTGTCCCGCCTGCCCCCCCCGCCCCGCCGTCGCCTCCTCGGCCGCCGCGCCGGGGCCCTCCCCTCGCTCCCCGTCCCGTCTGCCTCCCCCGCTCGGCGCGGGTCCCGCGTCGGGTCTCGGCGCCTCTCGCCCCCGCCCCTCCGCCCGCCGCGCCCCCCCGAGTGAGGCGCGCAGTGCAGAGGCCGGGTAGGCAAGGTCACTGGTCCTGGCCTTGGGTCGGGCGTGTCCTCCTACGGGCAGAGTTTAGAGGACAAGCGAACATAGACAACACGTGTTCAAAACATGTCAGACATGTCATCGGATAGTCATGCCCGGACTGTTGTGTACTATGCTCGACTACGTAGCCCTCCTGTAGAGGGACATGCCCCCCTGGCCTGCGCCGCCCCGCTCCGCCCTCGCCCTGCTCGGCTTTCCCCTCGCCCGCTGGCCCCTCGCCGCCGCCCTCCCTCGCGCGCTCCTCCTCGCGCGCCTCGGCCGCCCTCGCCCTCCTCCTGCTCTCAGGAGGGAAGGAAGCATACAGACACAGTCAATCGTCGATCCCCCTAGCAAATATGGGGAAATGTGGGAAGTGGGGGGGAAGACAAACATCCAAAAGATAGGGGAAGATATGGGGAATCCTGCTATTTGTGTGTGTGGATTTATTTGCGTGTCCCAGGGCCCCTTTCATGCTCGGCTCCCCTCGTCCGCTGCCCCTCGCCGCCGCCGTCTCTCTCGTCCCAGTCGGCTCCGGCGGCCTCGGCCGCCCTCGCGCGCGGCCCTGGCGCCGCCTCCTTTTTTTTGTTGCCGCGGCGGGAGCCCGCGCGCCGCGGAGCGGGAGCGCTCGCCAATTTGCTATAATAAGGCATAAATGTTGGATTTTTTGCTGCAATGATACCAGTATTTCCAATAACTTTTTCTACTTGTTTCTAGCATGTTTTGGAGCACGTTTGGATGATGCACATGTCAAAACAGTTATTACAGGTTAAACATGATCTATCAAAACAACAATATATTTATTACAATAATAATTGGGACACTGAATCAGACGCAGCCAAAAGTCGGCACGAGCGAAATGGGTACGGCTCGCTGTCGGTGTCGCGCCGCGGCCTGTGTCCACTTGAGACAGAAGGCCGCCCGCGCAACAGCGGCCGCTGCTGGTTTGGGGCAACATCTGTCGTTGGGCAGTGTACCCATTCTTTCGGTACCCATTTCGGGCGTCCCAAAACATGGTGTGTGTTGCTTGCCTGCTTGTTTGCTTGCTGCTTCGCACAAGCGACTGAAGCCTAGCCTAAGTCGGGCACGCAGGCAAGAGTAGTACAAGGGGACGGTCTGGGGACGATGTCTCGATGCTTTGTCGATAGTGTTTGGTTATGTTTAGCCCAGATTTTTCATCCAAAATCCAGCTGCAGGAGGACGTGCCCGACCTAAACTTAGCCCCGCGCGCAACTGGCCCGAGATTCCTGGGCCCCTGGAGCCTTCAATGGGGGCAGCGGAAAGGCTCCCTACATAAGCTCAGCGAGACCTCGCTTTCCTCCCCTGAATGCTCCCCTGGAGGCTCCCCGGCGGCGAACGAGGGGGGGAAGTGAAAAGGAAAAGGTCTTCCCAGAAGGCGGCGGGACTTCTCGGAAGCCCTCGTGCCTTCTGAGAAACTTTTTGTGTCTTCGGGGAAGGCTGATCAAACTTCTCAGAAGGCCGGGGGGCTTCCGAGCTTTCTGAGAAGGCCCGCCCCTTCTCACGTCCCCCCCTCGCTCGCCGCAGACCAACGCGCAGCATTGCCAGTTTCCTCCGTCCATGGGGGTCAGCGGAACAGCATCCTACTCTTGACCAGCCCACGACGTGTCAGGTGCCCCGGTGAGTTGGGCGTATCCCCTGGGAGGCATTCCTCCCGACCGCTGCTTGCACTTGGCAGCAGGATTGAGAAGGTCAGCCCCCATCGGTGGATGCAGTCTACGATCGTCGTCGCGCGCTGCGCAACTATCCCCCATGCCCTGACCACGTATACTTTCTCAGTGTGGATCTGAAATAGCGAAGTTGTTGTCTAACGTGCCGTGGAACCGCTTAATTATGTGCAGAGGTACGACCAGGGTTGTTCGGCAAGGCTTGCAAGATGGAGTGTACATTCTCAGCGTGTTCGAGAATGTTGCTTCCGGAGTGGACGGGGGTCCGCAAACCATTTTTTTAAGTTTGAATGTCTATCTTGTTACCTATAGTTCATGTTGCCTGGGCGTGCCATTTCTTGCAGCAGTACTGTCGGGCAATGGATGTTGTAGGTTCGGGCTGGGGGTGTGGTTTCCAGAGGAAATGCAGATGGCATTGTCCAGCATCGCCGAATTCGAATTCTGGTTCTCTGGGTAATCTCACGATTTGTCGAGGTTGTATGCTGCGCACACATGGTGCAGGCAGCACCAAACCGCTTTTCAGGAAGTTTCCGTTGTGGAGCCAATCTCGTTACGCATATGCTTGGAAGAGTTGTTTTCGAAGACTTCGGTGTATCCCTGCTGAGGGCCGCATCAGGGAGCAACTTCTAGACGCATGCGGAGCTGGACGTACCTACGCCGTCGAGCTGAGCTGCCCTCCTTCTCTTTTCGTCGACGTC